AGTTTACTCGGTATCATACATTTCCTCAAAGGTATTTTGAATCTGAAAAGAGCTTCACTGAGTGAGAAGTAGTGTGGAGAGCAGCGGACAGTTTCACTTTCACTTTCAGTTTCAACTGTTGTTTGCTTTACTGCCGAGAGCCTGCAAGAGTCATGGGCGGGGTGTGTGGGGAGGTGGGGGGAGTGCTCCGCCATGAGGAAGTTCGGCTTAAAGACACGTCCCAGGGGCGTTTCTGGTCCCAAAAAGTGTTCCTGGTCCCCACCTGTTGTTTTGCTCCTCAGCATGGCTGCCTAAAAACACTGCAGGATTTCTCAAACATGCCTGAATGAGTCAAAGCAAGGCTTTGGGCRTGTTTTTATGAGAGTGTTACATTATAACATGATATAAAACTCAAAAAAGYTGATTTATGATATTGCCCCTTTAAAGATTTAGTTCATATTCTAATATTAAACAAGACAAAAGACACCAGATACTGGTGAAACTTGGTGGTAAAATGTAATCTCATATTAATGGGAATCTGAGGATCATGTAGCTGCTGTATAACTAACCTGAAAGGAAGCACTTATTTAAAAAAACAACAACAACAAATATTTTTGAATGTAGTTTGTTGTACATTCTAAATAAATGTCTATCCCTGACGAAGCACCGTGTTTTGCTTTGAGCTCATTTGTGACGCTAGAAAGAGAGCCGCCATCCTCTTAGGCCGCTCGGGTGGCCCTTTTGGCGCCGTGAAAACAACAACCGCCACCGTCGTCATCGTCAGTGTCACTGTGATTGTGTCAGACCAACCATGGCGGCGCTCAGATCCCACAGCCTCTTTGCAGCTTCATCATCCAGTCCCTGAGGGGCGGCAGTTTTACGGGCACAGTCGCTGTAATCACAGCAGAATTCTGTGTTGAACACACACACACAGCCTGACGCACATGAATAAGTTCATCAATCAGGAATAAAATGACGAACACAAACGGCAGCCACCAGCTAATTCACAAGGTAACAAAGCAATATTTGTCCAGGATAATGATGGTTATTAACTGTGGATCTTGCTTGTGAGGTGTTTCGAATTTATTAACTACATTTGTCTTTGTAAGCAAGACAGCATTATCCTCTCACGAAACAAGATTCAATCAATATCTTTTATTTGTTCACTTCATTATGAAGGTTTATTAAATTTATAAAGAGCAGAGATTAAAATGGGGTAATGAAGTGGGGAGTGTAGGCCTTTTAAATATGAGAGGAGCAAAACTAGAAACACTTTATATGTAAAACAACCATTCATTATATTATATTATATTATATTATATTATATTATATTTAAAATGGTTAATTTCAATATATTAGCCCCACAACAAAACACTTCCATAATATCTGTATGTTAAAGAGGTCGCTTATAGTTTCTTTCAACCACCTCTGTAATGTCTTTCACCTCTACAGGGTCTTTAAACCCATTTCAGATAATTGCTTCTGTTTTCCAGCCCACAGCTTCGCTCTCATCAACTTAGCAGGGAGCTATTTTCTGCCGAGAAAGCTCTGTTGTACTCTTTGTACCTGCAATAAAGAGCCCCAGACAGTTGACAGGCAATGTTAGCWACTAGCTAGTGATCATGGAGGAGCTGCTAAAAAAGACATAAAAGTCCCTCTGGAGTCAGCGGAGAGCAAAACAGAGTTTAAAGGACAGTGAATATTCACCGTGACAGGGGACATGACTCCAAATGAATGCTAATGTTGCTCTGAGCCCGCTGCCAGACTTTCAGATCTGCCGTCTCGTAGGTTTGATCAAAAGCATAGCTCGTTCTGATGTTAGGCGGGCTGGAAACAACCGACTCCAAACTAATGCACGTTCTTTGATTTGACATTTATTAATAAAAATGTTTTCTGTGCCACAGCCACCTTGCATTAAAATCACTCCTCTGTGGGATGTGCAGCAACAAGAAGAGTAAACAATGTTTTAAGATTTAATCCTCCCCCGTTTTATGTTTAAATTCAGACTAAAATAAATTCATTTTATTTTTCTCACCACCAGATTCATCGCCAAAAATGTATTGCTTTGTAAAAAATAAAAAATGAACATTACATTGAAATATGTTATCTACGTAGCATCCAGTCTCTTCGCTTTGACAGCCTCTAGTCCAACATATGATTCAACACAACATAATGACAAAAACAATACAGTATATATCTAATTATAGTCATCCAACCAGTTTCTAGATGTTCCTAGATCTGAGCTAAACTTCAGAGGTGATCAGGGATCTGCAGTTCATATGGACCACTGAGACCACCAAGACTTTTTAAATCTATGCTTCGRACCCATCTTTACTCCTTGGCTTTTGATTCTGGCAGAGTTTGAGATTCTGTTGGAGCTGATGTTTCTATGTTGTATTTCTATATTTTAGATTAATTTGACAKATTGGAACATTTCTGTTTCTTTGTTGTTGTTTTATCCAAATGTTTGGCTGGATTGTGAAGCACTTTGGTCAACTTCTGTTGTTTTTATGTGCTATATAAATAAACTCACATATACAGTACCTTATTGTAATCTTGGACATATTTGTTTGGGGCTTGTGGTAAATAACCATTCAAAGCTTAACTTCATCCAATCATTCATTCATTCATTCATTCATGTATATATGCATTCATTCGTTCATTCCTTCATTCATTCATGCATGTAT